TTTTTCAGATTGGGAGAAAATATAGCAAAGGTATTTATGCACCAATAACAGTGGAAGGATCAATTGTAACCGACGGTATTCTTGCATCATGTTTTTCGCATTTGGAAAGTCATCTGATGCAAAAGTTGGCGCATGATTTTTATATTGTCATCTATCAGTGGTTCGGCTCAGTGATGAATTCAATACACGACCCAATTCAGCATTTACCGGTTTACATCGAATCGTTACATCAGTTAAGCAAATATGTACTGCCATTTGCCAAATACTGAAACAGTTTATCAGTAGCAAAATGTTCTTTTTTCCTACTCAGTTTAGCTAAAAACAACAGCATACGCTGAATTGTATCATTCATACAGGTATTATTAAGATTTAAAAGTGTTTTAAAAAAACGAATGAAAAAAACTAAAATACTTAAATTTTAATAAGCTTTTTTTATCACCAGATTTTCATCGCAAAATTTTCATTTAACAATTACATTTTGAAAAAAAATTTGTAAAATTTATCTTTACTTTAAATTACTGTAATTTTTCGATTATTTATTAGCTTAAAATCGATATGTACCAGAAAAATCCTTGAAAAGGAAATGTACTAATAATTGTTCAAAGATTCGATATATGTGAAACAAACGTATAATTAATATTTCATTTGTGATTATGTTGCTCAATGTTGCGCAAAAAAAAGTAATAATATTAGTAAAGCCAAACTTAAAACTGTTTCTAATTTAGGATATCTGAATTCTGCATATCCAGTACTGTTTTGCGCTAAAAAACCATTTTTAAGGGATGTTTTCAATTCTAAAAGTAACTGTTATAAGCTAGCATAGGTTTTTTTTTGCTATCAATTAGACCGAAACAGTAGACATGAGTGTTTATTGATAGTGTCAGTCGAAATTTTGAAGCTTTAATTGGTTTTACTAAGTAAGTTTATGTTAAACTTGGTGATTGGCTACTTTCCTCCATTCCTCTCTTCCTTTTATCGCACGATTGAGAATTTTCATTGGTTGGTATTCAGTACACCATCCTATGAGCAGAATTGAAGCGAATTTTTGCAAATTTAACTCAACCACCTGAATGTTTTCTTCTTTCTCCTTTCCACTGATGACTGTCTGCCACCCGAAATCCATCTTATATGAAACATGCAAAAAAAAAAAAAAA